TTACTACAGCACATTTACTAACCTGGTACGCTAGCATGGTTCGTTGAGCATCCGGAGTTGTGAGGACTATCACAGTTCCCGTTGTCCCATCCTTTACTGGTGCTGACAAAAAATTCACATTTGCTCGTCGAAGTTTGGATCTGTATGTAAAGTGATACAGCTCTGATCAGTGGTCAGTCTAATTGAAGCACTCAGATAAACAAAAAAATCCATGGGGCACTGCACAACAAACTCTCTTAAGTTCTCAATTTAGATGTGGAATAATTTAGTATTTCTCTTATATAACTCATGAGACTGGAGATTCATTCAAAATTCTAAGCCTACATAATACCAAAAGACTGTTCCTTCAGCTACTGAAATCTCAAAGGCACGTACAGCTTGTAATTGATATTTTTTACAATAGTCTTGCTCTCCATTTTCAAAAATTATCTCTTGCTCCCCCGTGCATATTATTTGACGGCAATATGCGGGTCCAAAGCACATATTTACATCTATAGTAACAACCTGCAGGAACCGTACAGTCCAAACAGACTGCAGCATCCACCACCCCCAAAAAAAAGGAGGTCAGAAGAATAGCGTAGTGGTAAGGGCCCTCCACTCCCAGCAATAGGATCAGGAATTGGAGTCGCCAGTGGAGAAAGTAGGAAAAGCAGTTGTTAAGCTCCTAGATAGGGAGTTCAGAGGGGAGGTGTTAAAGAAACGGAGAGACACGAGAAAGCAGCATTTGTAACAGTCACCAAACTCCTACGGTAAAAATGGGATAAAATCTAAAAGAGTTAACCTTTACCTGTAAAATCCACCCAAGGGATCACTTCCGATACTACCTGCCATGCCTACATTCAAAGCAGGACTAGCTATTGGCTGACCACCAAGCCTAGCCAAGGCAACCAGGCTATTAGAAAGTGATCCACCAGCAGCAGCCTTGTAGCTGCATCCGTCCATCGCACGCAGAACTTTACCCCTTTCCTCATGATTGATGACCTTTCTTGTACCCTTCTCTAATCCAAGCCTCTCCAGAAATTCATCATCAACCATGCCAGAAAAATCAACCTATATAAATCGCCAAAGAGCATCATTACATGAAAGAACCTGGTACTATAACTAAGATATATCAGCCTGTTGTGTCAAATTGTGAAAACTTCTGTGGGAGCAATGATAACTAAAATAAAGTAATACAGCAAAAGTTAATGCCAATTAGGTCACTGTAGTGCCGTACTGCCACTCATGAAAGAGAAGATTTGAGATACAGTAAGAAGCCAAAGGATTATAAGCAAATCTAATATATTCTCAAGTTTAAATACACCTACGGTGTTTTTGGGTAGTCATCGTCATCATCAACAACAACAGCTACTAAGTGAATGCAAAAGATTATCTGTAAGGAGCAAAAAGAATAACGATCCTTCAATATCTTTTTTTTATGACTGAGAAACACGTTTGGAGCCAACCTTAGGACCAACCACAGCCTCTGAAACTCGAGGACTGTGGGCCCACCCCCTCTAACCCCTTTTTTTTTAATAACTGTGGTGTCTGGGACAGCTTGCGTGCACCTCGGATAATTCCACGGGATACTTGGCGCCCCCCACTAGCAACCCAATCCCCTCTATCCTTCTCTACTTAAATACCAGACGCTTGGCACAGAGCTCAAACCTGTGAACTAAATCACAAGTCTCTCAACCTTTGCCAATTGAGCTAAGCCCTAGAGACCCATAGGAATTGAAATACCAACTTGTTTTCCTGATTCTTCATCAAAAAAGTAATACCAACATAGTATGATTTTAACCAATATTCCCATTGTTTAGCAACAATGGTTTGTCAAAAAGGGATTAAAGAACAGCTCTTTTTAATGTATAAATATAGAGCAACATGCATTCTAATAGCTAGGCATCCTCTAAACATCCCTACTGACATTTTACTAAGTTATGTGAAAAAGGGTATAAGAGCATTTACCATAGCTTGGCCAAGGCCTAATACATCCCATTTTTGGGGAAGATCAGAGCTGGAAAGACTAATATCTTCCTCGTCAACAATCAAGACTTGGTCTTCATCGTCAGTCTCAGCCCCTTGTTCATCATTTTCACCCGACACAATCTTCGAGCTTTCCCCATTAGAATTTCCAGACGAAGAGGAAGAATAAGAGGAAGACGCAAAAGCCCTCGGAACCACATAATTGGAAGTCGACATAGAACAAGACGAAGAAAAGAAAGAACACGAGCTGGAACCGAAAATTGTAGCGTTAGAGGTAACATTGCTGAAATTAGAATGGTTCCTTAAAAGGGAAAGTAAAACGGACGGCGAAGATGTAGTAGAGATAAAAGAGGGAATATTTCTGGTAAGCGTGGAAGATGAAGAAGAAGATAAGGAGAGGAGAGAGAAAGACATCCTTTTTTTTTCACAATATTTTTAATTCCTATTTTTGGGTGAGTTGAAGAATAGAAATAACTGAAAAACGCTATTTCTGGTTAATTATTTCCATTCAAATCTGGTGCTCGCCGTCTTCTTCGCGAGGAGCAGAGCACCTGCGTCTAGGTTTTTGGCTGCGCTCAGAACCTCAGGCTCCGGTCACCTATGGACGTGGGATTCAGTGTATCGCTCCTTTATCATCAAGACATCAACTAGCTAGCCGACTATTCTTTTTCTTTTTTGGGACCTCAAAGTTTATTTTTATAAAGGTTACCTCTCTTGTCATTTGACGTATTGCAGTTGTGCTCCTCATTTTTTTGATTTAATTTTAGAGCCCGTTTGGACATAAGAATTTTTTTTTCTTTTTTTCAAAAAATTTTCATATTTTTTCGAAATCAGCTTTTGTTCATAAAATTTTCAATTTTCACTTGAAGATGCATTTTGAAAATTTTTAAAAACTATTTTTCGAATTTTTTACTCAAATCATTAACAAAACTTTAAAAACAACCCAAAATTATAATCATGTCTAAATTCAACTCTAAATTTCAAATACCATTTTCACTTGAAAAAAAATTTCACTCTATTTTGAAGTTTTACAATTCTTATGTCCAAACGCCCACTTAGTTTCCTTGTATTAAATTGATTTTAAGGAATAAAATGTTTATGATATTTCATAGCTAATCTTTCTATCCTTCACTTTTGTACATAGATAATATTTGAATTATTAGAAGAAATAAATTCAAATAAGTGTTTGTTGTACAATCTCGTCCATATTTCAACTTCAACTTGAAATAGAAAATTTGAAGTTTGAAAAATTTGTTATAGGTGATTTTTAAGTAATAATTTTCATTCACAAAACTGCATTATTTGTCGAACACAACTAAACTTCCAAATACCTTTTACGTTCACCTTCAAATACTCTTATTTTCCTTTCAAGTTTTAACAAAATATAATTAATCATTAAGATGAAGATGCGAAAAAAGAAATACCCTACTGTATTTTAGAAAATTTGAACATTCCCACCAAAAGAATTAAAAGAAAGACTCATTTAAGAATTATTAGATTAGTCGAAAAAAAAAACACCAAAAACTCAAAAAAAAAATTGGGGATAATTTCATGTACATCCTATTAGGGTTGTGCACGGATCGGATCGGATCGGATTTAGCACATTTCGGATTCTAGAAAATGCAATCCGAATCCGATCCGAATTATATCGGATTGGATTGGATTGAATTTTAAAGTTTGGATTGGATCGGATTTCGGATCGTATTATTTTGCCTCAAAGTTAAACTAATATGTATATTTTCTTTGTAAAAGAAGCAATACATTAAGAAAAATTCATGTTTATGCAATTATGAGAGTACTATGGTGCCAATATAGCTAAATCTAGCAATTGTAAAGGTAATAACTTGGAGGTTGATGTAAAGGAAGTACTGACTATCTGAAATTAAAGTGTAGTAATATACATGCCCTAATAATTTCGAATTTCAGATCGGATTAAAATATACCAATCAGAATCCGATCCGAAATCCGAAATTTTAAAAAATACAATCCAAAATACGATCCAATCCGAAATTCGAAATCCGAAATTGAATGGATCGGTTCGGATTTCGGATATCCAATCCGAATGAACAGCCCTACATCCTATAGGGTGTGATATTATTTCTTACTTAATCACTTTAATTTCTTTAAAACAATTTTGTGAACCTACTAGGGCTGTCAAATTTGGCCCAAGCCCAAATGACCTGCCCAACCCGTTCAAGGTTGGGTTGGTTATTGACCCGCCCATTTATTGAACTTAGCCCATCTTGACCCAACCCATCTCAATCCAAATAAAGTTGGGCTAATTTTTAGCCCAAATTGATCCATGAGTAAGTTTGTCAAAATATCTCAGAAATAATTTTATTTTTTGTTTAATATTTTAAATATGACCATAACAAAAGCAAAATATCCTTATTTAGTAATAATACAATTTATAAGAAAATAACATATATTAATTAAAGTTTAATAAGAGTTGGCCGGGTTGGGTTATGACCCGAATTTTAACCCATTTTAACCCAACCCATCTTAGCCTAAGTAACATGACCCGCTCAATTATTGACTCAACCTATTTTGACCCGCCCAAAATTAACCCAACCCGCCCATTTGACACCCCTCGAACCTACTCACGTTAATGTAAAAATAATAATTTGAGTAATTATAATAGATTGGGTTGGACTTTGGAGTTATAATACGGTCTTATAGGATCCATCGAATTCAATAGTTTTTTTTAATTTAATATGTATATATTATTTTGTAATTATCTTAATATATGTATAAATTATCAATTTAAAATCAAACAACTTAAAAATATTAAACTCTCGAATTCATAAACTTTAAATGTTAACTTTTGATAATAGGTCAATTTTAACGAATCTTTGGAATTAAAAGGGATTTTGTTACATAAATAGCTAGTTATATTTATTGTTTTTTTTAATTAGTGTATAAATTATATAGTATATATGAAATATACATATATTATGTTTTGGTCAACTATTTTTAGTTCAAAATATTATGTAGACGGCTATTTGGATTAATTCTTGGAGAAAATTGTTGCTGTTGAGTGAGCTTTCACCTACTTATCCACCCAAAATTGAGAATTTCAGAACATTCGGGGCCCTTCCAGAAGGCCCATAGAACTTTCACGTCGGATTAAAGAGTTGATCAGAATTCAGCGTAACAACTAACAACTGTACAAGCTGGGAAATGGCGGAAAAAGCAGGAAAAAGAGGAGTGAATCAGAGCATAGAGAAGGTGTGCAGAAGATGCAAACAGGCATACACTCCACCTTCTAACAACCCAAATTCATGCCGCTTTCATCCTTCTTTCTTTGTCTGTCGACGTCATGACGATCAGAAAAGGTTTCTTACCTTTCTTTTTTTTGTTTATGTAATTCTTTTAATCGCTCTATTAATAAAATCGTTGCTTCAAAGTGATCAGATTCATGCTCGCTCTTATATATCCATAGGGTATCGTTTAAACAATCAATTGATCAATCAACTACGTGTCATTTCCAGATTAGCTGGTGAAATTGGTTCGCTCTATTTGTATCAATATCATGCTAATACAGAATAAATTTATCTTTTTAGGCAAATTAAGGGCCAGTGGTGCTTGTGATATCACAATTACATCATCTGTTTCTTGTAATTACATACTTTATTTTAGCTGTTAAGCAATGATAATAAAGTTAAGGAGCAACTGGGTTATTATGAGGGTAAAGCAGAGGCTGAGGAAGGATTTGTAGCTTATGGATTCGGATTCTAGTCCTTTTTAAGTTACTGGGTTCTAAATTGTAATATATTGTATATACTTAATGAATTTTTTTAAGACGAATACATGGTTTTTAACCAAAGTTATTGGGTTTGGCCAAACCCGTAACATTGACACTAGCTCCGCCCCTGGGCTAAATGCTGAATTGTAAATGGTTTATGTTGTCATTAGCTTTAGTGTATCATTTTTACAACATTATCAACGGGGGGGAATGCTTAGCCTGTTTAAGTTGTTTTAGACATGATCAAAGGGGTAATGTAGGCTTGTATCCAGAGATTTAGATAGAACTCTAGCGTTGTCCAGTTACTTCTTCGTAGGAACACAAAATTCATTTGCAGTTTTGTTTATTACGTGAGTCAGGTACTAGAGTGAAAATTTTACATAGCTTTGTATCACTGAGCTAAATTTTGTGCCAAAATAACATGAGTCAGGTCAATTGACCTCTTTAGTTAGGTAGCTTTAACATTTATTGCCAAAGAATTGAATCCTGATACTGCCAGAGCATTTAGCCTGGATGCATTTTAAATTTATAGGAAAGAAGTGAAGAACTATTAGGGGGTTGAGAAAAATGTGGATTAATAGATGCTAAAAATTATTTCGGATACTTTTATGTTACAATTTTAAATGAATCAGGAGTAAACGTCAAGAAACGCATAGTTGTAGCTTGTGTAGATCTGATTGGTTTTTCATTGTTTGGTACTAGTGATCTATTATCTACATCTTCTGTTCCAATGACCCATCTGTTATACTTCTTAGCCTTTACCTTATCAGATCACTGCTTTAATCTCCTCATGTTTGTATCTGTCCCCTGCCCCCTCTCCCACTACTGGAGGAACCCCCACCAAAAGATCAGTTCTTAGATGACATGACTCATAGCAGTCTTTATGTATTTAAGTGTCATTGCAATGCTTCGGATGAATAAGAATGGATTTCACAGAGCTCCCAAAGTGACCACTTTAAGTACCATTTTGAGTGGCCACTTTAAGTACTTCCATTGTAACTATTCCTTTAAACCAAAAGTTCATATTCAATTCCATTTGTTGGTACCACTGTCTATCATCTAGATGAACTTCCCCTTTTTTGAAGACTCGGCAACTACCCTAGTATTTTTATAACCATGGTATAAGCATCATGTGACCTTAATTTTTCTAAAGTTGGGAACATCTATCATTCTGCTGCAGCCTGCTAAATTTATAGTCTACAGAAACAAGCTTTGAGCAACTTATTATATTGAGTTAAATAAAGAAGGAAGCTTGACGTGAAAAACAAAAGCAAATGTCTCAATAAATTCCGTTAAGAGACTTATAATGAAAGAAGCTAAATTCTAAAATAGTCACAGATAAACTTGTAAAGGCGTAAACTTTGTTTATCCTATATGGCAGCATTTAAACCTTTTTGTTTTGGCTTCATCCCAATAGCTTGTGTAAATTCCATTATAAAATAGTACTTTCATGTCCATAGAGTAATAATATCACTTCAGGTTGGATAGGCCCCAGATTTTCATTTTCCTTGTGGCTGCTATCACCTTCCAATCAACTCATCTTATTCTTAGGTGCCCTAACGTTTTCATCTTCCCAGTGGCTGCTCATAGTAAAGCAATGCTCATAGTAAAGCAACTCTCTTCATTCATTAAGTATTACTAGTGAAAAATTCCTCTCATACACAATTATGGAAGTAGTATATTTTGCTTGGAAAGACATCTAGACTTTATCGGAGGGGTGGTAAATTAAACCCAGACCCATCCAACCCGCCCAAGATTTAATGGGTTTGGGCATAATATACTTAACAGATGGGCTAATTTGGGCTAGCCCAAAGCAACCCATCAAACAAATAGTTGCCCAAACTGAGCCGTGAATTAGCCCATTAGTGACCCGTGTAAAAAAAGGACCTGGGGCTGGGAAAGGTGTTTCTCTGGAGAGCATGTGAAACTAGAGCACATGTCCATTGAGTGGGCCCAGCTTCAAGCTTTAACTATTAGTACTACTCCTATGTGTTTTGGTGGATGTGTCTGAGTGGACATTCACTTTTCAGTTCTTTCTAGGTACTCTGGTAATTTATCCACTACAACATTTTAGCATAAGATCTATCAATATAAACTCATAAAAAGCACCTTCTTATAATAATTGTGTGTCTAATTTTTTAATTAAATCAATTAAATGTGGATCATCTCAATTTAAGTAATTGTAATAAGAATCTGAGGTTCTACTAGTACATTAGTAATATGTGTAGATGTTTCATATTAATTACTGGATTTTTGAATTGGTAAATTGTATTTCTTTTTTCGATTGTCAGCTTATGTCTTTAAATTATCAATTTTTAAATATATACACATTCCTGGTTTAAATTCTTAAGTTATGATGGATATGTTTAGCATATGTATATCGGTTAGTAGGAGTCACAAAAATAAATGGAATAAGGTATCTTATCTTCATATTAAGTGAGCATTTTGAAGCACTAGTAACATTTTTGCAAATCAATATCAAATAGTGATCTCTAAATTCTTGAGAAACAAATGAGTACCACTGCATATGTATTTGCAGTTTTTTGTCATACTTTTTACCAAATTAATGTAATTAAGGATCTTATAAAGTGTATTATTTTAGACAATTGAAGTAATTTGAACAATGACTAATTCGAAATTGTCTTTTGAAAAATTACTCAAAAGTTAGGTCAAGTTAGGCGGGTTGGGTTGTAACCTATTGTTTAGCCCATTTTGATCCCACACATCTTAGCCCAAGTAAGCTTTGGACAGGATTGGACAATGACCCATTTCTTGCTTCAGCCCATTTTGACCCGCCCAAACTCAGCCCAGACCATCCATTTGCCACCCCTAATAATTATACTAGCTTGGTGCTTCTCATATGAATGTTGGTTATATACCTGCAGTTGACAAAATCTAGAACAAGAAGTGCACGTATAATGAAATGCTTTTCTCTGAAGAGCATAGCAATTCCGATTTCAAGATTATCAAATCTAGTGGAGATGAGTCTAATAACCTAAATAGTTGATTTATGTGCTCGACCGTTGGATGAACTTGTAAACATTTTTATTCAAAACATGCTTGGTTTGTGCATGGGACTTGTAATTGTTATCGGCAAGTTGGGTTCAGCATAATAGTTTAGGCATGAATGCTTCAGTGAAGTTATAGTTTTGCCACTTCTGCAGCAGAATTTGCCTTTATGTCCAGGGAGTAGATCTTTTTACTTTGTTCTAGAAACTTGAGCATTTCCATGATCTCACCTGTAGATACAGCTGCTGAAGTCCATAGACACAACCATTGTGTCATGAATTTCGCAGCAAACTACTTCACACTGTGTCTTGCTTTATACAATTTTCCATTCTAAAAAATTAAAATGGAAAAGAAAAAAAGGAAACTGGAAAAGCAAAAAGACATTCGATCAGGATACTCATACTGTACAGGAATAAGATGCAGTCGGCTTACATCTTGCATCTTCTCTTATAAGATCGATATCTACCCCAGGGGTTGAATGCTCCTGGAAGAATTTCACTTAGTGTAATTGTTGCGAAAGTAATGAGAAAACACAATGGAAGAAAGGAGAAGATGAGTATGGGATGACTTTCGTCCTGCCACCATCTATATTGTGGAACAATAAATTAGCTGTTAAGAATTTGTTAACAAGTAAATTGTACAACTTCACTTTCTATATTTTTTTTCTCTATGGGAATGGTATTTCTAAGTTTACTTTGGTGATCTGATCTTATAGCATGCAATATCTTTCTGAAGGACAGTTTCTGCCTTCTTTTCAATGTAGGTATTACGAACTAGGACCAGATGATCCTCCTTATGCTGCCAAATTTTATGATTGCTGTGGAGCAGAAGATCCTGAAGCAAGTGGTTGTACCACCAGTTTCCATGTTTCATATGATGATGAGTAGGAAGATTCTCATGGTTTGTTATGTAAACTTTCTGTAAAGTAGAAGCTGTATAGAGACAATCTGCATTTCAGAACCTGAAATGAATTTTGCTCTTTGATCTGAAATGGACAATCTCCACATTGTCTACGTATCCTATACAGAGAAATGATAGTTGACGGCTGTCACGTATATGTTTTTGATTTTGGGGATTAGGTAATGCTCAGCCTTACTAATAATCGAAAAGAGACAGTACTAACTTTAACCATTATCTTCTTGGTTTAACAAAAATGCCAAATCATATCACCACTTGATATTATAAAGAAGTTAGTTAAATGTTGGTTTCAAACAAAGGAAAAAGTAATATGGTTGTTGACAACTATAATGAACAAGCATAATTTGATGGATCTAGTTTTTGAACATTTTATATTGTTAAATTGAATCTAATTGTACTAAGTTCTTTGTTGGGTAGCAGGTGCATGAGCCAGCTCATTGGAGATTCTACTGCACAAAATAGTTATAGTAATAGCTCAGTTTGATCTTGTCACAAGTTGCATAGCTGGATGTGCAGGAACCAACTACACACAACATTCTCAAATTTGTTGGTCCAGCCATGAATTGTCCTTCAAAACCAAGTTAAAAGACATTCACATATGCTTATCCTCCTTTTCATTAAATGAAGTTGACAATTCCCTTGTGGCCGTGGTCACCTATTTACCAAAATAAAAATTGATCCACCATATAAGATACTATCTTATTTTGTTTGCTGGAGTAAATCTTTAGTACAAAAGATTTGAATGGCGACAGCAATGATCAATAGTTGGGAGAAGGATAACATGCGCCCCACCAAGTGAAAGGCTAATTGTGGCGTGGTACACCTTGTCTTAGTCTGTCCCCACGTTTTAGCTTTACCTTTTCTTCTCTAGTTTATTTTATGGTCAGTGATTGTTCACTCTCGAATCTCTTTAATATTTTTTTATTGATAAGACATAACTTGTACGTACTTTAATTATACTATTGATAGTATTTGTTATTTTCATCAGTGCAAATATTGGATACTCAGTGCACCAAAATTTAGACGGATGAAAAGAATCACTGGTCTAGTGCACACAAGGTTATGGCGTAATGGTCGATAAAGAAAATATTTTTTTTTTTAAGAATTAAAAGTCCTTTTGGTATTAATTTTTCCCTTTTCTATAAAATTAAAGAAAGAGACCTTGATTTCAGTGTACTAGTTTCTGTATTATAGAAATCTGAAAGGTATTAATTCCTCAACTAACGTCCTCGTACATTGGTTTAATTTGGTGTGATTGTTTTTGGACACAAAAAGCCGATTGCGAAAAATCGTAATATGAACTAATGTTAAATGGAGTTTAGTGCATAAATAGAATGTTGTGGAGGTAAGATGCACAAAGTAAAGTATTTACTCTTCAGTCCTGAAATATTGATTACCTTAATAATAAATTGAAATATGAGAGCACATTTTTTAATATGTGGATATAATGTACGTAGCGTTTGTCCAAAATCTAAAAAAGGCGAAAGAAATCATATGTAGGACTAGGAGTGCATGTTACATGTGGGCAATGAATAATTGTTATGGAGGCAGCGCGTTGTAGCATGATTATTATATTACATTTGCACCAAGACAAAAGGGGGAGTATACATGTCATAATTGTCATGGAGGCAGCACGTTGTAGTATGATTATTATATTACATTTGCACCGAGACAAAAGGGGGGAGTATACATGTCAAGTTTACATGTTCGCATCAATTAAAATGAAGATATTTGATTTGTTGAAATTGCTGAAAAACTATTTCGCACACCTAGCCAAATTTGTATTAGAAATGAAAATTTGGAAACCGAAATAGTGTCTCGTTGTAAAAACACATTAAGGATACGCATATTTCTCTAAGCAAAAGTTGTTCATGAGCAGCAAGCGTTTGGGAACACAAGTGTCTTTCTTTAAGTTCTTGAAATTATTAAATCATAGGAAATGGAAGGCTAGTAAATTCTTTGCTTAAGGCTCTAAATTTTTTTTAATAATATACACTTTATTATTTTTTCGCTTAAATAATAATGAAGCCTATAGATTTAAAAAAAAAATATGAAATATTTATTAAAAAATAAAGATTGTCTTCTTTTTCACGATAGGAATATTTTAAAATTTTAAATTAAATTACTCAAATCTTCATATTAATAAATAAGAATTTTTGCAAGAAGATCCAAGGTAATATATTGCAAATATATGACTAATATCTTATTAACATGAATTAACATTTACTATAATAATAATAATAAAAAAAATTACTACGTGGAGTTAAAAGCTTCATGTCTTCAAGACTACTATCTTATAAACAAAACAAAAAAAAGATAACATTAAATTTTTGTATATTTATATTCAATCAAAAATTTACGATTGTATGCCTATTAGGATGTGGTCTTATTCAAAAATGGGAACTCCAACATATGACTTCTTAAAGAATTCCTTAAAAATGAAAGTATAAGTTAAAAGTATTTTACCTTTTCTCATATTTTCTTTTCTCATACTTTTGTTTTAATTTAATTCTGTATTTTTTGTTGATTAAATAGAAATTCGGGGTTTTCAAGGTGAACCCGTCATATCTTCATGAACATTCATCGCAAATAGATGTTAGTAACATTGTGAATGTAAGTTGTTATTTTTCTGATTTTAGTTAGTCTTGTTTTTACTTAATTTTTTTTTGTGATATATTTTTATCTTTATTGTTATTTTTTATTTTTTGTTTCTTTTAGAGGATATCAATCAAAATTAAAGAGATTATATGTTCAGGATCAAATTTGAGAGATGAAGAAATATATTGATGATCCCGTAAAGATGATTAACTACTCTAGTGGTATTTAGCTTTGATTTTGTTAGGATAATATATTGTAAATTTATAAGAGTTAATCATTGTTACAGGTATAAATGATAAGCTTGATAAAGTTGTGGAATTTTTGGGAAATTAGATTAAAGAAGTGAAGAAAGATACCATCGTGGTATTTTAAATGATGAAAATGGATATCTTGATCAAGATAATGAAATGAATCAACTTATAGATGATGTTGTTTGTGGAGATTCTGCTAATCGTTTGGGTGACAAATAGGATGAACAGGGAAAAGATGTTGATTAATGGAGGCAATAAGGAATTTGAGCAAATATCATCTTATAGTCCAATGTCTTCAGTCATAAATATTGAGTTAGTTTGTGGAGGGCAAAATAAAGAAGGCACTAATGGAGGTGCATCTTTAGCGAAAGGACCTTCATATGATAAAATAAGTGGAGAGAAAACAAATTGTATTCCCGATTGAACCAGTTCTCGCAAATGGTACATATGTTGATGCTATTATTCAAAAAATAATTGATGGGACATATGAATTGTTCACACCTCACTCCAGTTAAGACATTTTGCAAAATAGCGCACATGTCTGTTCTCAGGGTAGCGGACCAGATGTTCTAGCATACGGTACAAATGTCGATCTATTATGCGCGATATAGCAGATTGGAATATAGTTTTGGATACACCTGAAGAGGAACAACAACTTTTTGCATCAAAAATGAAGACACTATCCTCCCCAAAAGAAAGAGAAGCTGATTCTACTGGTCTAGCAACTCTTTTTGATATATGTGCATAAGAAAGTGAAGGTGCTCTCAAAGAAAAGGAAGAGGTGTTGTTGGAAAGACCACCTATTTGTGTTCACCAGTTTATTGGAAAGATTTAATAGGATAGTGTGAGTAGTTTTATTATTTTATTCAACAACTGTAAATCTTGAATTCCAGTATATTATAATGATTTTTAATCTCTAAATTTCCTTTATCTTTTTACAACAGCCTACATTGTCGTATAATAGAAAAAGGAATAGGAAATTTATAGATTTTAGCCCTAATTTTAATCTTCTAACACATTCAAGCCAAATCAAGTGATGACAGTTGATCATGCCCATGTTAATCTCCATATTTTTGTTGATATGAAGGCCATTTATTCTGATAAACAGATTGTATTACGTTCATGTGTGCATGAGGGAGTTTATGTTTCTCCTCATTAAGTTGCATGCCCATTGCTACCTTGGTTAATTATTGTGACCCGCAGTCAAAATTACAATATGTAGAATAGATTATGAAGAAAGTAGATGCTGAAAAAGGACAAGTAAATTTAATGTTGATAAAGGAAAAGAGGTTTGCTATAATTCCTCTATGGAAGTAGATCAATTAAATTTGAAGTCTGTATCGGTTTCAACAAGAGAAGTAACTGTAAGAAAAATGAGTAGATAATATTGACTAAGAACAAGAAGGAAAGAAGAACAATTTATAAAAAATACTGTGCCATGGCAAGCCACTGCCTTGAAAGCGATTTTGGCCCGACTGGGTGCAAATGGTTAAGATCGGTCGCTCCCCGAGATTCCACAACACCTCCAAACACGTGCACTCTTGGCTGGAAGTTTGGAATTTGCACAAAACAATTGCCTAGAAATCGTTTGAAAAAGAGAGATGAATGTGTTTTCTATGTCAGATTATTCACAAAGAAGACTGCCTTTTGTAGGCAAAGCTGTTGAACAGATGAAGAATTAATCTGTAGTTGTTACAGAAATTAAAATAGAGTCGTTACCCAATTAACTACAGATGTTACCAGAATTAAATCATAGCTGTTACAAGAATTAAATTATAGCTGTTACAAAATAATAAAATGGATGTTACAGAATTTAGACAAAGAGAAAGAATTTGGACATATTTTGGTAAGCATGTATTTGGACACTTTTCTGATAAGCTCAGAAATCGAAGAAATAATTTTAGCAAAACCAAATTTGGATTAGGCCTCACGTATATCTCGCGCGCAGGGGGGACAAATTGACCCTTTTTGCATTCAAGACCAACTTCTCATGTGCACGAGATCATTCCCTTTTACTAGATCTTTACAAGCCCAACAAAGAGTAAGTCATTATAAAGTGAAGAAAAAGACTTTCCACAACCAATAAGGGACACTTTGTCTTTCACAAAAGACAAAGAAGTAAAGAAGGAAAAGGGACAAAGAAATCTTTGAATTTGCATTATAAGATATAAAATAATACAAACAATCTCCCACTAATGCAAAGACAAAATAGAATAAGAACAATTCTGGATAAAAAAAGAAACATGTATTTAAGTGCCAATATCTTTCGATTTGAATTGACACGTAGTGAAATGAGGCAACAACTAACATTCACAAAGTGAAGTACTCTTGAATTGAATGGACATTAGTTAGACCCCCACAACACATACTATATCCTTAATTCTATGCAAACTCCGCGATACTAACAAAGTGCTTTTATGGTCATGCACATACCTTGGGTCTCATGAGTGCTCTGGAAAGACATCCCAACCTTTATACTCACGTAGGTGATTCTGTCAAATCTATCTATACATAGACCACCTTAAGGCTATGGAATCATTAAGAGAAAAATAAGCTCAACCTTATAAAGCACTACTTTACGCCATAGGATAGGAAATGTAGTGCATATTGAGGTCCCATATGGCCCCGTTTGACCATAAATGAGTATCCACCATACTTCCTCAATCCATGGGCTTTAACCCCATCCTTTTCGATATTTCAAGGATAACTCTCCTTGCCGAACCCTTGGTTAAAGGACATACCAAATTTCTTTCGGATCTTACATATTTTAAGGAAATAATATCATGTTTTAACAATTATTTTACCGCACCATGTCTAATGCGGATATGTCTTCTTTTTTCATTGTACACACTATTTTTGGCAATTACAATTGCCGCCTGTGAGTCACAATATAGAGAAACTGGTAAAGCTTGTATTCCCCACAAAGGCATGTCTACCAATAAGTTTCTCAACCACTCACCTTCTTGCCCTGCCAACTCAAGAGCAATGAATTCAGACTCCATAGTAGATCGTACCATACAAGTTTGTTTTAAAGACTTCCACGAAATAGCACTTGCACCCAAAGTAAATACATAGCCACTAGTGGAACTAACTTTATCATTGTTAGTAAT